ATTCAGCCCCCAAACCCCCGATGCCCCTTTCCCAACTCCCACTGACCTGGTGGCACCCATCACCTTTCCCTGTGACCCCACGGTGATGTTTGGTCACCTGTTTGCAGCTGAGGAAGATGAGGAGTACTTTGATGGGGAGGAAGAAGAGCTGGAGGAGGATGCGGTGCCTGAGAGGACGGTGATGGGTAAGGGGCAGCACAGCTGAGCCCACCTCCCCAGGACCCTCAAGCACCCATAGGGGAGCTTTGGGGGCTTGGACCCCCCTTGATCCCCCTGTTCTCTCCCCCTGGCAGTTCCCCAGTAGCCACAGCGACGTTGTTGGTGCAGGAGAAACGTCGCAGGCGCAGGTTGTCCAGCGACGGGACTTGGGATGGGGACGATGCTCTGTGGGGGCTGGTGGCCTCGCGAGCTGGTGCCTCCTCCAGCACAGGACACTTTTCCGTACGGGTGCAAACAGGACAATTCCGCACGTTTTTTATCTTCCTTGTTTTGTATATAATTGTCACGGATTTGAATTTTGTGTATTTTGTAAAGAAAACTGGTGTTCTGGGGTTTTTTTTTCCTTGCGTCTCGTTCTTGGTTTGCCAGCCCTGTGATGGGCACTGGGGATGCGGGTGGGTTTGCCAGGCTGGTGGCATCACCAGTGTCCCTGCCAGTGCCTGGCATGGCAGAGGGACACCTCCCAGTCCAACACTTAATTTTCAGCCTCATTAGCACCTCTGGCAGCACTGGCACCCTGTGCCTGGCTGCCCTCCCGGGGATGTAACAGGTCAGCACCCAGCAGGATTTATCTCCTGGTGATGGGGTGTCCATGGGGTGGGGTGAGGATGCTCCAGGCTCCGAAATGGGGACAGCCTCAGCATCGAGCTGCTGGTTTGCTACTGGCTGAGCTCACACAATTGCAAAAATATACCATGATTGCAAAAATACACCACAAATGCTTTTCTCATGCAAAACTGTAAGCCCAGCTCAGCGTCTGGCCAAGGGGAAACTGAGGCAGCACCTGCAGCGGTGCTCTGGGCTGTGTCACATTTGCAATTAGCCCCAAGGCAATTAGTGCTGCTCCTCCTGGGGTGGTGGCGGGCAGGAGTCACTGCTGGGGGGGGCTGATCCCAGGTTTATCCATCACATGTGGCTGGATCTGACAGGGGGATGCTCCCCACTCGGGGGCTGCACCCACGCCCATGCATGGTTCCTGGGGGGTGCCCATGGCGGGGTCCCAGAGCAATCCCCCCCCTCCAGCAGCCCCCTGGGTGCTGGGTGAGCTGACCCACCCTGGAGCAGGCGGCTGCGGGTGCTTTGCAGCCGGCCTGGCCCCCCCTC